CATCAGACACGGTCAGGTGCCACAGCCAAGTTTTGGAATGGATGCTGCTCCTTTGAAGACGTGGAAAATGGGATTATGGAAGGCAACCATTTTCATAGTTATACCAAAGGCAAGGTGGTCATGTACATGGCTACTCAAAGAGTGGTGCCCACAATCAGCAGCACCAGCCTGCTCTGGGACACACAGACCCCTGGCCCCACCATGGGCTACTGAGTCAGGACTGGGGCTTTCATAGGTGACTCATGCATAGGTGATGGTGTGGGAAGCACACTGCTATCCATGGAGCCCAGTCCCTGGTCTGGCAGGGACGAGGTGATCATGTGTAAGTCATCTTTCTTTTCTGTGCTTTCATTTTCTCATCTTGCAAAGGGGAGCCATTCATCTCTATGTATGTAACAGTAATGAGATAAGACACATGGTATTCAAATGCGTCAAATTCAAAAACAAGTTCCAAGATGTCATAAAAAGTACACAGTGAAAGATGAAGTGGATATTATGCTCTAATAATGATTCTTTAATTTTACTACTGGTAAAGGAGCATGCTTTGAATAGCTTGGTGATACAGAGGCTCTTTCAACAAAACCTCACTCTCTGCAGGGGATGTAAGTACTCTCTAAAAGTTACATTGAGTAAAAACCCTCAAGGAGACAATTCAATTTCCAAATGTAAATTCTAGCAACGCGTTCGGGGAACACTATTGCTACTGTCCCCTGGTGAGCAATGAGGTTTCCTACAAAACGTGATTGCCTTTGACATTGTTGCTGTTCCAAGGAAGTGGTTTTTCAATGTTAAAAGAAGCTGCTTCCATCGGGACAGGATTTGTTCCTGTAAAGTTGAAAGTTTACGCTTGTTATGCATGAGTTTGAGGGAAGGAAGACAGAAATGACAGGGAAAAACATGGATGTTCAATGTCGTGTGGTTCTGAAGGGCTTGCTTCTGAGTCTTAATTATGGTCTGTCGTTTGTACGGAGTATGAGGTTCTGCCACAACCAAGAATGAAGGGTGCACCCCCTGGGGTCTTTTCCAGATGTATCCCTTCACCTTAAATCAATTCCTGCACCCAGTGAGCGAACCCCTCTGCAGTACTGAGCTAGGAAGAATCAGAACAGCAAACTCAAATTCTAGATATCTTGCTACAATGCAAAATTAGGATAGACAGCCATTATCAGCTTTTTAGAATAGTCAGCCATTATCAGCTTTTGATAGGCAAAACTGAGCAGGTGAAGTCATTCTAGAGAACGAACGCTCTGCACACGATTCTCTTTGTTTGGTATTTAAGGAAGCTTCCTTGCAATAGTAAAAGTAAATTGTGGGTACTCAGCCATTAATTACATTTTTTCCTTCAAAAGATGGTGTGGTATTCAGACAACACAGAAGCAAATGACCTGGAATTGTACTCCCTGTTGGATTAGAGTCCACCACAGTTTTGTGATCGATCAAAACCCTGATACTTTTCCTGGGTTTGCCATGGTTTCATCCACATACAGACTCCTAGCAAAGGCCAGCTGTCATTCTACAACATCCTTGTCAGCTGTGTGCTCAAGGACTTGGCCCAAGGCAAAGGGACTGTGTAGAGGGGCCTTTGCACTGGGGGGACTCCACCTGTGTGCTGGTTTCTGACCTTGGGCATCTATTCTTTCTGTGCCCCAGCTCTTCATTTATAAAATGGTTAGAACTAGATTATCCTTTAAAACCCAAATTTTATCATTTAAAGGGCAATCAGTCTTCTTGTGTACATGGGCCAGAGAGAGACATAGGATTTTTCCAGGTCTGGTCTAAGCTTTTGCTGGCATCAGCCACCCACAAGTAGGCAAGGACTGCCAGGGTTGGGCATACAGGGAACAGTGCAGTGGACACCCTGCACTGCTTACACGTTTCTCCATCTTCCACTGACCAAAGGAACTGCTCAAGGGAGTCACTCTCAGGCCCTGTTCTGCTTGTCACATGCAGAGGGTGAGGCACAACAGTAGCTGGCAATCCCACAGAACATTTTTCTGAGCTTTAAGCATGAATCCATCTTTTGTATTGGATGTGCCGCCCATCAGCAGGGTGTGTTTTAATTATTATTTTAATTTCATGTTGGCAGAAAGACACTGTCAGATAGTGCCCTTCAAGGGAATCTGTTACTTTGGGGGGCTGTTCACAGCTCTGTACTTTTGGCTCAATGCTTCTCAGCACATATTGGTTTCCCCCAAACTGTCCTCTGCGTGGTACTTACCCTACTGCTTGGGGGACTTGTGACACACTTGCCACTGCATCCATGCCTCCTGGGATGCCAGGAGCTGCACTGAAGGGAATGTCTAGAACGAGCAAACCCGGGGGATCAAGAAGAAATGCTGGATAGGACTTACACCAGGCAAGGAAGAATTAAAAGGAAGCTTCAGGCATCCATAATGGAAACACACAACTCACTTGGCTTCCTTTGAGTATTGGCTCTTTTTTACCAAGAACTAACTGAACTGATACATGTAGACAAATATTTTTGTTTTTTGTATATGTTTTTTTTTTGGGGGGGTTCAATCTTCCATAGCGATTATTCTTGGTAATAGCAATATGGTTCTCAGATCAAACATTCCTTCTTTTATGAGTTGAGATAGCCTGATGTTACAAGAGGCGAGTAAAATAGAATTCAAAGTTTAAAGTGGCCACACCAACAACATTACAGTATTGGTAATCTGGTTTGCATTTCGACTTCTGAAATATGATCCTATTTGAGAAGTTCTATAATTAATTTCTATAATTAGTTATAGAATCAGCCAAAACCACATAATCAGAACTCAACAAACCAAAAACCCCAAACTGCAAAATTAAAACAGTTGGCATATTTTTGTCTCTAAATAAATATTATAAATAATGAAATATTTATGAGAGTGGAAAGTATATATGAGTAATTATGAAGTCATCAAATCAGGCCATTTTGCACCTGAGTTGCCCCTCTGAAACTTGCAAGTCCTAGAAAGCTGTCATCCAAAGTCCACAGGGCTTGGCCTTTTCATTGTATTTATTCTGAAAGCTGCACACTGCTCTGATTTCACATAGATCTAAAATATGGTATTTATCCTGCATGTTCAGGTGGTAAAGTAATCAAGAAAAATATTTCGGTCCTTAGCAGCTTACCTCATTTTAAAGGGAATGCTGACTGGTAGGTCCATGCTGGCTGAGAGCTGCACGAAGGGTTAAAACATTACAGGTCCAAGTCGGGTAGCCATTATAAATGTTACCCAAATAAAAGCCAGAAACAGGAAGCCAAAAACCAGGTCCCTAAGGCAGGCATGTGTCTTAAATGATATCATTTGTCAAGTTTCCAGCATCTTGTGGTGGGGAGCACAAAAAGCAGGCCTGTGCCTTCCTGAGGACAGTACAGTCCCATTAGCTGCAGTGTTCCTCAAGCACCTAATGTAGGATTTCCACTTTAATAAGCAGCAGCTACTTGTCACGACACTTTCATGAAATAAACACTGAATGGAATACTAATGATCATTTCAGAGGCTCCATCTCACCCCTGAGAAACTTCATTCCATGGAGTCAGACAATAACAATTTATAAAAGAGATCCTGCAAAACTTCTGTTCTTTCTTTGCAAACTATCCCCTGGATTTTTTTTTTTTTTAATGTTGAAGTCAGTTGATAGCAATAATCGTTGTCAAAGGGACTGGAAATTACATTGTTGGTATTTTTCATAGACAAAACAGATCTGAAGAAGTAGCATTTAGCTTTTAAGATGTCCTGACTGGATCATACTGAATCTTTGGGATGCCATCCTTTCTCAAGAGATAGCTCCTTCCATCCCATCCTGCCTGGCCAGCAATCCAACACCCACCGAGCAGCGTGGGCCACACGGAACACTGAGAAATCATTCATCCACTGTGACTGCTCTGCCCTGGCCCCTTCTCTAAAACAAAGACTGACAACAGCCCTGAATTATGGACGCACTTTTTGTGATATGTAATACAGTTGAGAAGAAAGGTGCTGGGACCCTCACACCATTTCACCTCCCATTAGAGGCTGGTCTTGAACACTAATCCCAGAGGATGAAACTGGGGCTGAACTATGACCCTCAATTTACAAATCATTTTTCAAAAGAATGAAAAAAAAGGGTGAAAACATATTTTTGGTATTATCTGAATGGACAGAATCTTTCATGCTTGTTTTCTAAGAATAAGTGAAAACAGCATGCCCTGCAGTTTCTCAGTTTGGGGGACGGGGGACACATGAGGTTTTCAGATTATGCTTTATTTTAAACCCGGGTGTTTGAATTTTATTTTTACATAGCTGAATTTAGTATATTCCCTCAAAACACAATAAATTTGTATTCTGTAGCTTAGGGGATCCATCAGATAAAACGTTGGTCTTTCATCTTTATTACCCTACCATTAAAATGAAAGAAACCCGGACTCACTTCAGTTTCAGAGAGGCAATTGAGTTGGTAATGTCTTTAGTTCTGAGTCTTTACGGAGGGAGAAAGTGCATTATTGGGTAGATTTCACACGTCTATCTGCATAGGAAGCAACTAAGCCTCTCAGACATGTACTATGTTAAATTTAATAATATTCTTTGATTAGATTATTTTATTACAACATTTTTCCACTACCAGTCATTTCCTGGGCACAGTTACATTCATAAAAACCTGTCCCCCACCCTCTTTGTTTGGGGATCGAAGAGCAAGGCAAAGTCTCTTTCTGTGTTGCTTCAGCTGTTAGACCTGAAAGGGACAGATTAATAACCAAGCACCACAGTGGACAAGCCTTTCTTGTCCAGTAGCCCTTTGCTATGACGAGGACACAAAGAGCCTCACATCAGGCTGCTACCCTTCTTCATAACTCAAAAGCGTCACAGTGGCGATGGCCTCCAGTGCTATTTGTCTTTAGTGCAGTTGTGACACTTCGGCATGATCCATAATTTGGTAGCTATTTACCGTGACATTTCCCTTCAGTGCAGGCATAACATTCAGTGAAGCCATTATTTGGTTCCATTTACCATATAAATTGTATTGTTGTGCATGCATGCTGGCAGCTACATTAGGTACCTGAAAATGAGTAAATCTCGTAACACAGATGCCAACAGTTAGGATTTCCTTGCCCCTCAGATGCAAGGAAAGGATGAAATCTGGCCCCCAGCTTCCTGGAGCATCTTTAACTCAGCTCATATTAATTGAGGACGTTGGATGTACTGAAACCCAAGACTCTGAAAAATAACCCGGTGGACTTCACCTTGCACTGGAAAGGCACTGTGGGATTTTGACTTCATGATGAAGGTGGCAGCAGCGTTTGGGCTTTGAAGGTGAAGGACCAGTGGGCCAGCTATGGCATGATCGGGAGAGAAGGGCACACATCACAGTTACCTTTTGCATGTGGTTTACAGACGTGTGTGAACCATGAGGTGACTGGCACAAAAGGTGATTCATTCCACCAGAACACTGGAGAAGTGAAGGGGGAACTCAGGCTGCTGAGATCAGTTTCCACAACCAGAGATCAAAGACGACTTAGGTCTCTGTAGTGCATGGAGCCGTGTGACTTGAGTATGCAGGAACAGGAAGAGTACTGTGTTCTGTGCTGTGGTATATGCGTCTGTGAAAAGAGCATATCTATCTTTTTTCCCTTTCTTGTGCATATACTAATTTTTAAAAAGCCTTCTTAATTCTGTAGTACCCCTTTCTAAAACCTTTCTGTCTATATGTAAGTTTCCAATACCAATTTGTTTCTTAAAAGAAAAGGGAGTTTTTCTACTCCACATGTCTTACCACGATGACTGTGTATAATAACAGATACCTCTCTAAGATACATCTGTGTTTGCTGAATCATTTTTCTCATACCTTAGCAAGCTCAAATTTTGGGGAGAATTCTCCCCCAAATGTCTAGTTAGATAGTTGGTTAGTGATTTATGGAAAAAAAGAGGCTATTTCCTGAGCACATGGGCTGTGAAAATACATGGCTGCCTTTTGCTAACCTCTCACTTGTGAACCACCTATCAGCACAAGAGCAAGCTCTCCCAGAGCAGAGAAGACTTTGTGAACTATTCTCAAGACTGATTTTAAAACCTCATCAAGCTGAGGACATACTGATTCCATCAGGTCCTGCATCAGGAATTAATTTACTTCCCTGGAACAATAAAATCTGGAATGAGACCGTCCATGAGTAAAGAATCGAATATAACCGTTTTACCTCTTAGCCACAGAGGGAACTTTTATTGGAATTTTTTTTTCCAAGGTAGAAGCAGGGTGTGTGTGTATGGGGGATTATTTATTAACACCTTACTTTTGTTTAAGAATGTTATATCCATTACCAACTAAAAATAAATTGATTTGAGTAATTCTGAGGCATAAAGGGGTCGTTTTCTTTTTCCTTTGATTTGTATCATTGTTCTATTTTCACAGCTTACTGTTGACAGAGTGAGGTAATTCAACTACAATTTTTCCAGTGTTTTTCCCCATGTACATATAATCGACAGCCCGGAATATGGAGTCCAGGCCAGTGAACCTGCCCTCTGGAGACAGGTCTCCCAGGTCCACCTCGCAGATCAGGTCCCCACCTGCATACAGCTTGAGCAAGTGCTCCATGGCTGCCTGGTACTTGGAGAAATAATGGTTCAGGAAGAAGCCATGGATGCTGGCTGATTTCCTGAGCAGTTTGCCTGGCAATGTTGCTGCTTTCACAGGTGAAAAGCCAGTGGGACTTTGGTAGCCAGAGATAAACCCAATCACTACCAAGCGCCCTTTGGTGGCCAATGCGTTTACAGCCAGGTCAAACATGGCTCCCCCAACAGATTCATAGACCACATCAACACCTTCTGGATACTCCTGCTTGAGCACCGTTGCCACCGGCTCAGTTTTGTAGTTGATAGGACGATCGCATCCAATGGATTTCAGAAAAGCAGACTTCTCTTCAGAGGAGCAAGTTCCAATTACATGGCACTTTGCCTTCTTTGAAAGCTGCACAGCAAACTGGCCCGTCCCCCCAGCTGCTGCTGTCACCAAAACTTTCTTCCCTTCTGACAGTTCTCCAAGCTCATTCAGGCTGATATATGCAGTGGTGCCACTTACCAGCAGGGTGAGATACTCTGGTTTCACTGAAGGCACTGGAGTCGCACTTCTGGCAGGCACAACTGTGTACTCAGCAAAGGAACCAGATCCCATGTAAGCCACAGCCTGGCCCACTGTGTACCTGGCACTAGCGGAGAGGCCTAAGGCCACTACTTCACCAATCCCTTCAAAACCTATGTCAAAGGGGGGCTTCACCGATGGGTCATAGCGGCCAGCTGAATAGTTTATGTCCGAGGCATTAATCCCAACAAATCTAGAAGAAAACAAACAAACATGTTAAGATGGTTTTTATTGGTTAAGGAAAAGCAATCTGTCTAATTCCAGTGACTGTGGAGAAGTTGGTGAGCTACAGGATCTGATAGAGTTCGAGAAAATTAGTCCTGTTGAAAAAAATCTACCAAGTATTACTTTATTTATTTTTTTGTGGTGGCACTGGGGTTTGAACTCAGGGTCTCATGCTTGCGAGGCAGGCGCTCTATCACTTGAGCCACTCCACCAGCCCCAAGTATTACTTTGACAGTGATCTTCATTTAGAGTTTTGGCCCGCTTTATTCTTTCATTATTTGGGAATAATTTCATATCACTTTAATCAGCAAGAGGTTTATTTCACATACCTTTACTTCTCTTTCAAAAGGAGAAATAAGGAAAAAAAGTCGGGAAGCCCTTATGATATACAAACTTCAGGAGCACTCTGAGTTGGAAATTAACTGCTCTCTTAACAAAGATATCAAAAACAACACTGGGTTAAAATATATCCAAAGAAGAACACGTGTATTGATTCTGGCAACAATTTAACACTTCAGATAATAACAGTAATGACAAATGATATTATTAAAGATTGATGGAAGCAGCAAAGTTGCTACATGTTACTGCCCGGGTTGTTGGAAAAGGCTACAGCAAATTTTGTCTCTGGTGTAAGGGTATCCAGTGTGAAAACACGTATTTTGATGAATTCAACGAAAATTGGGAAGAATGATTTTTACGGAACACTCAACATTTCACAGTCCCCTTTCAGATGAAAAGCAAAGCAAATCGTCATTGTGTTTTTCCTCAACAAGAAGCAGAGATAGAACGCGATTAATACCAGATGATTACTTTCATTATGGTATACAGGGTCACTTTAATTGTGAGGCCAGTATTTCTCCAGCCCTTTTTTCATCAGAGGATACCTCATAACAAAAATATCCTGATAAGCAGAGGAAAAAAAGCCATCTACTAAGAATGTCAGGAGGTGACTTTGACACATAGGGGAGTACCCCAAAAATGTCATTTTCCCCTGTAATGAAATGAAAAGATGGTAGTACCTGGTGTGTGTGTGTGGGGGGGGGAAGCTGGTAAGTAGGTTGCTTTAAAAGAATTCACTTTTAATTTAACTTAATAAACCAAACCTGTGTAAGAGTACACTTTCACTGTATATGGGTAACACTTTGCACTTACAAATTTCCTGTGCATCTTTACATATTGTGAAAACAAGGAAATGGAAAATTATCTTATTTCAAGCTGCCTTCAAAGTCAGTTCACCATGGCCCCAGTAACATGCTACCGAATTCGGTACCCACTATGATGTTCAATAATGAGAACTGGGAAAAATGAGTTTGGCTCTTTTTTCATGTGGCATTTAATACCAAGATTCCTACATTCTATTTTTAGAGAAGCCTTTAAAAAATATCTAGATGTATACCATTTTCCCTTTAAATTTACACAATTCTCAAGGCCTGGCCTTTTCTGAAAAGGGCTAGCTTCCAGGACTTTGCTTCTGGACTTCAGAGAGCCTACCCAGGGCAGAGCCCAGCTGGAGCGCATCTCCGAGACCAGCCTTAGGCAGTAAAGCTGACTCCAGGAAATGCGCCCGCAGGGGTGGAAACCATGGCAGAGTTTGCTTAGAGGTGGGGGGACAGGGGCCCAACCGCCAGTTGCTCTCCGCGCTCCTTCGCCCACAGTTAACCCCTTCCTGTGCCCTCTCCCACTCGGGGCTGATCCCCCTCTGGCTTCTCGCAGACCCAAGCCCGGTGGCCGCTCCTCCGCGGGGAACCCGGGACTTGGGGTCCAATCAACGCCCCTGAGGCAGCCAGCCCGCGTCCTCCCCACCTGGGAACCCGCGCGCCCTGGTTCGGGGGAGGCCCCGCAGGACACAGACCCAACGCCTCTTCTCCTCCGCCCCCAGCGACCGCTTGCCACCTCCTTGGAAGAAGTGGAGAGACCGCGCAGGGCGCGCTCGCCCAGGAGCGAGGGGAGGGCGCAGCCGTGCAGGGCGTGGGCAGCAGAGGCCAAGTTTGGAGGGGAGGCCGTGGGCTCTGCTGGGAGCAGCAGCAGCAGCGAGGGTTTGCGCGGGACTTTGCTAGAAAAACCCCAGCGATCGCCGTGGTTACCATCTCTGGCAAGCGCCGGAGCTGCCCCGCAGGCCCGCCAGCCGTGTCCAGCTCAGCTCGCGCCTCCCCTGCGGCGCCCTGGCCAGCGTGCCCGCGCCACGTGTGGGCGCTTCGGGGGTTCGTCTCCCTCGGAAGTGCCGGGCAGCCGCCCGCGACTGACCTGTGCGAGCCCGCGGCCTCCCCACCGTCACCGCGGGGAGAGACATCAATGACCCCTCGTCCCGCGAGGGCTGGGGACGTCGCCCAGATCCGCCATCGCGGTCTCGGCTTCCCGGCCGCACGGAGTGCTGGCGGCCCACGCCCTCGGTCCCCGCGCGGTCAAGATTCTTCCAAGCCCTGGAAAGGCCGCGATGGAGCGCAGCGGCGGCTGGACCTTGACCTTGCTACGTGCACCCCCGGTTCCCCCTCCCCAAGCCCTGCCTTCTTCTAAATCGTCCGCGTCGTCGGGGAAGGAGGCTCTCTCTGGCTGTTGGCGACAGCTCGCGGCTTCTCGGCCCCGCACACCGCGCTCTCTCCCGCACACCCCGCCTTGACGCCGTGTCGCCGCTGGCGGGGCCCCGCCACGGCTTAGGTCGCACTTCGGTCCTTACCTGGACTTGGGGAAGAAGCTGCGGGAAGGTCGCGAGCCGGAGCCTTCTGCTCCACCATAGACAAGTTCAAGGGCAGCGGGCTCAGAGGGAGAGGGGTCCAGTTCGGGAAGCGAGGACGGAAGGGGGAGCGAGTCACAAAAAGACAGAAAAGCCTCTGGGAAGGAAGCGTGCGTTTCGAGACTCTTCCTGCACCCCCTTTAATTGAAAATGTGTGTTTGTAATGAGTGCAGGATCCTAGCAATCCAGCAATCCGACGGGTGGACCTACTGAAAAGACAAAAATCCACAGAGCCCCCCCCCCACAAGAAAAATAAATGAGACCGGTGCGGGCGTTCCCTAAATATATACCCTTCCAAAGCCTCGCGGCTTTTTATACTAAACAGTGCCGAACCTCTTCGTTACGTTTATTGTGAAACAGGGCGACCCTGCAGAGGGGGAGGAAAACACGTTCCTTTGAACAAACACCAAATGGGAAGATTCAAGGCCACAGCAAACGCCTTCAACACTGGAGGACAAAACAAAAGTCGTCAAAACCATACTTTCCTCAAAAAAAAAAAAAAATCAATTAAAAAAAAGTAAAGAAAAAAAATCTCGGCCTGGAGACCGCACAGAAATATTTCATCCTCCCGTGAGCAACAAACCGTTTATCAAGTGCGCCTTCCCCACCCCCCACTTCTCTTCGCCATTTCTACAAACTCTTTGCTCCATTTTCTTACACTTGAGCAGAAAATCGTTAGAAATATTTGGAAACGAAGTAATCTGTCACCCTCTTACGAAAAAGCTAAAAATAGCACAGAAACCGACTTGACCTGGTGGTGCCTCTCTCCCTTTTTTCAAGGGCTGAGCAGAAGGCAAGACAGGAACTTGTCTTGGATGCATGAAACGGGAAGGTGAGGACTGGATGAAAGACCACCAATTATACATTCTGGAGGGGTTATCTGCCCCTTCTCCCACCTTTCCTCAGTGGTAAACTTTCTTATCCTAAATCCATATCTGCCTTACAAGCACTTCCCTCCTTGTGAATGAAGAATTTGTATTTTTTTAGCTGCAGTGAGATAGTTCACTGAAAGAACAAAGTCAGTCGGAGCACAATTAATACCTCCAAAACACCCGACCCCCCCAACAAGTGAATTTGGGCTTGGGCTTAATATCCATTCATTCCAGAGGAGAATATATTATGCTAAAAATGAGAATCGCTTGCATAAAATTTTCATGCAATTAGCACTGCTTAGAGGATATTTGGTACTGGATTAAAAGGAACTGAACTGCAGTGAATTACAAAACCTCTATTCCAAAAAAAAAAAACCGGTAAAGTGCTGGTCTATGGACCTTGTTTGCAAGAATAAAGACCGTCCGTCCCTCAGCTCTGGTAGCGGGCTCCTCGACCGAATAGCGAGGAGGAGGCAAGAATTCTGGCCCCCTTGCAACACACACAAAACTGGCTTTTTTTTTTTTCCTGTTGCAGATTCAAGGTAGAAGTTAGAGGTCAAGTTGTTCATCTAAATATTGTACTTATATTAAAGGGATTCTTGGATATGTGAAAGGAAAAAAAAAAAAAAGAGAGAGAGGCGTAGATTTTAAAACAACCCAAATTTTTGAGCTCACAATTTGGGAGCCTGCGCTCCTACCACTGAATTCAGGGACCAACATTGCTCCCTGCGTCAGGACCAACACCGGTGACCCGGGGTACCCAACTGCGCTGCCGAGACACAGCAGCCATTTGGGGAAGGAGAAGGGAGGGGGCTAGGGCGATAGCAAACTGGAAAGGACAGCGGTGGCCAAGAGAAGACACCCCGAGTTACCACTGGCAGGTGGAGAGGCCCAGCCCGGAGAGGCCCAGAGCCCCGGGAAGCCAGCAGAGCAACCTCTACCGGCAGGGTCCTTCCACCCGCTGTGGTTCTTAGTTCTCTAACTTCCCACCTTCTCCTGCCTGTCTCCTTGGGGCGCCCCCTCTCCATTTCCCACCTGTTTCCAGAAGGAATCTTATTCAAGCAGTTGCGTGTTTATATATTAGTATTTACATTCAACACTATATCACAAAAAAATAAAATTTAAAACGCCTACGTGGAACTCACCCCCCCTCCCAATAGTTGGCTTGGACAGCTTTTCAGTCCGGCCCCATCTCAACTTCTAAGCAAATCACCGGTGCGCTCTGGATGTTCCAGGTAAACACACACTCAAGCCCTGCTTTTTCACTTGTCAGAGTGGGAGTCCTTAGTCACGGCTTCAGTGAATGCCTAAAGCAAGGACGGACAGACGGACGGACACACACACACACACACACACACACACACACGCTGCCCCTTACAGCAAAGCACTCCCTACTCACCCCCACCACTCAGTCCCACCCACTCCTCACTCATTAACTAGGGTTCCAACAGGTTTCCAAAAGTTTCATATGGTGATCAACCTTCTTGCTCAACAGTCTTGTTTGGAGGGCTGATAGGAATCTCTAAATCCCACTGAGTAAGGGTAGCCTCAGTCTACTTGGGCACGTACGTTTTGTCCTTCAAACCTTGCAGGGCACTTACAATACTTTCTGGCACACAATTTACAGCCAGAACTAAATCCTCCCTTCCACAATTTTATTCAACCTGAATCATGCCATGCTGGAACCACAGGGATGGGGCTTAGCAGGCCAAAGGGCATAGAGGAGCCCCTGGCCGGCTAGGGGGGCAAAGGGGACGCGGCACAGACTCCAGCCCGCATGGCTCCGACAGGGAGGTCTCTTTCCTTCGGTCGCTTCTCCGCTTACTAAAGATTAGTGAGGTGGAAAGACATTAAGGTAGGGAGTGTGGGGTGGAAAAAGACAGAAGGTCTAACAACAACCCACAACCCGAGTGTCACCGAATGTCTGCAAAGCATGCAGGCAAATGCAGCCGTGCTTCTGCCCAGCCCTGGCCCTACTCCCTGGGACACGAGCCACGCGCCTGTCCTTGCACTCAGGGGACAGACAACAGTCATACAGCACTGACAACAGGCAGACTACCACAGCAAGGTGCACAGCAACACACCCAAGACAGGCTCAGCCAAAGGGAGAAGGTTGCCAGTCTTGAGGGAACCCGAAAAGCTACTTGGGTCCCAGGCCCCCTTCCTCCAAAGCAGGTTTACCTAAACGTCGCAGTTTTGTGTCCGGGCTGTTTCTGCTCCACTACAGATTATGTCATCGCAGGAACCGTGGGTGCGCGCGGGTGGCCCGGGCGGGGAGCCTCCCTTTCTGGGTCCCGTCGGTTTTATTTAGGGAGCGGGAGGGGGAGGAGAGAGGGCTGGGGGAGGGGAGGGGAATCCCAAATTAAAATAACCCCCAGTTACGGGGACGTTCGGTGGCTCGGATATTCACACCAGCAAGTCACATTACATTCGCCTTCGCCAGATGGCGGCGGGTTCAACTTCCCGGGATCTCGCAAAGTCAGGCTGTGCGCCCGAGCGCGCGCCGCAGTGTGGGCACGCGGGCGGCCCGGGACAGCCGCTAGCAGCGGGGCTGCGCGAGCCGGGGACCGGGGCGGGGGCGCGCGCCGGGCTCACCGGTTTCGGACGAGGAGGTCTCCGTCCCCGGGGAGCGGCACCGGGCAGTCCCGGCGCAGGGTGACGGCCTCGCGGAAGTTGGGGCTCAGCCGGGTCACCACCAGCTTCTGCATGGTTTTGGGGATGGCGGAGCCCTGGAAGTCCAAGAAGTGGCGGGCATACGACATGTCCACGATGGCTCGGGCCCCAACAGGCGCCAGGCGTAGCATGGCCCGCGCTCGCTTCCGCCGGCTGTCTGCGCCGCCTTTGGCCGGGGTAAAGGCCAGCCCGGGCCGCTCGGCTCGGCTCGGCGCAGGCGGGTCCGCCCCTCCTCCGGCCCGCGCCCTCCCCTCGGCTCCCCCCCTTTCCCACGACGCCCGGGTCTCGCCCCCGCCCCCCGGCCCTGCAGTGCGCTTTGCCCGGCGTCGCCGCAGCCCCGGCGGAACCCCGGCGCGCCAGCCCTCGGCCCCGGCCCGGCACCGCGGTCACCGGGCCGCTGCTCCTTTAATCTTTTTGTTTTGGTTTGAATCTGCTCGGCGCAGACTGGCCAGGGATCCTCTCCGCCCTCCCCCTTCCTCCCGGCGCGGGAGAGGCACCGGATATCCCCACCCTCTCCACGCTCTAAAGCCGGATTTGACTCCTCCAACAGGGGGGCGGCGAGCGAGGGGGCCCGTGCTCGGGCGATCGCCGCGGCCCCGAGTGGCGGCGGTCCCGGGCGTCCCCGAGCGGCGCGACGCGGCGCCGGGCGGCCGGCTCAGGCGCCTCCCCTTCCCGTGCGAAGCGTTCACTTCCTTGCAAGGTGGTACGAATCAACCCCGAGCGCGGCCGGGGCGGCGGGGCACGGCCGGGGCCTGGGCCATGCCGGGAGACCCGCAGCCAGTGCTCGCGCACCAGCACCCCCAGCGGGCCGGGGGAGCCCGCTTCACCCTGCGCCCCGGACCCAGGGCCTCCTGTTCCCGGAGCGCCTCGCCCGCGCCTGTGCCCTAAGTCTGTCCCGTGCAAGTTGCACGAACTAAGCCATTTTATTTACCTTGGCCTAGATTTCGTGGTTTTCCACGGATGTTTTAAGTACCTCCACAGGACGGTTACAGGTTTCCCATTGGGAGAGAACACATACTGAAGCAGGAGGACGGAATTCCCAGAGCACACAAACATTTTAAAGTTCTAGGTGGGACTGCCAAGGGGCTTAGTGGGACTGGAGACGTTGTGATGATGTATGAAGACCTCATTTTCTCAACCAGCTGGGAAGATCTGTCCTTCCATGGGGTCAATGTTCTAACTGTGTGCATTAGCGAAATAATTCATTTTTTTATAGAGGGCCAAATTAAATGTTTCCACGTTTGTCTGTGATGAGCTAAGTTCACCTTTAAATTCCTAGTAAGGTGTGTATTTTAATTTAAAAAATCCTTTGCTTTCCACTTACCCATGAATTACCAAAATGTAAAAAGTGTCAAGAGCCCTTCCCCAACCAAGTCTAACTCCCAAACCAAGAATGTCAAA